TGAGTCGCCACATGTTGCCAGCACTGCCTTCAATTCGTCGATGGTAAACAGAGTATTGTAGCCTCCAGCAGATGGCCTTCTATCACGGATAGGCTTACGTTCCTCAGCAAGCTTGTGTCGTTTAAAGGACTCTGTGTAATGTGCTAAGCTGAAAATATACTCGAAGTGTTGGCCTAAAGCATCTGCCTGGTGTTCCAGTGTATCACCGGCAGTACTAACAAGGGGCATCGGATGAGTGCTGTGCCCTTGGAGTGCTCCTACTCTGTTATACACCTTATGTGTGTCAGTGTAAGAGTTCACCGATGAGAGGAAGGATTGCCAGCTCTGTCGTTTAGACTCTCGTCGAACACGTCTACCGTTTGCTTTTGCGCGCTTAAAATTCACCAAGTTTTCGACTGTAGGATACCTGCGGAATTTCGACCATGCTTTGTTTTGATTGTCACGAGCATTTTTGCACTCAGAGTTCCACCAAGGTCGTCTTTTGTTCCGTGTATTGTTAGATGTATGTGGGATGGATTGCTCTGCGGCCTGTATAATGTGGAGTGTGACCAACGCTTCAGATTCATCGATGCCTAGGGTTTCAATTGATGAGCGCGATAGTTTTGAGAGTTTTCGGAATTTCGTCCAGTTCGCACCCTGTTCTCGGAACCTGGTTACATTCGCAGTCATTGTACTCGTATTTCCTTTGTATTTTAGACAAACAGGAAAATGATCACTTCCATAGAGCTTTTAATTACAGCCCACTCAGTGGTTGCCAAGAGTAAAGGAGATCCGATAGTAAGATCTATTGCTGTGTATGAGCTGTGCGCTGCGTTAAAGTATGTTGGCTCTTTTTTATTAAATATACAGGAGCCGGAAGACAACAGAAAGTTTTCAATTAAGGAGCCTCGAGAATCCGTTCTTCTACATCCCCATAAAGGGTGGTGCGCGTTAAAATCTCCGACCAACAGAAATGGATGCGGAAGCTGGTCGATGAGTGTTTCAAATTCTTTAGTAGAGAGTTGGTAGCCTGGAGGGATGTATAGTGAACACACGGTTGTTACTCGTCCAAAAATTAGGGTTCGTATAGCCACTGCTTCTAAGTCAGTAACCAGAGTGAGGCTTTGAGACGGAACTGCTTTCTGCACCACGATAGCGACACCACCAGATGAATGGGCAGTGCCCTGTCTGTCCTTTCGGTATACCACATATCTTTTCAAAAGGCTAGTGTGTGTATGTTTTAGGTGTGTTTCCTGTAAGCAAAGTATGTTTGGGTGGTGTTGTGCAAATATTTCATAGATGTCGTCTAAGTCCTTAAGTAAGCCTCGACAATTCCATTGGATAATATTTTCGGCAGCCATTTTTATGAATGAGGAAAAGAGCGTGACTTATTCACACTTCGCTGCCTTTATTAGGAGGCTTCACTGGCGGGTGTCTTTTCCCTCTGAGGCGATCTATGGAGCCCCGCCTCACTTGGGATGATTCCGTCAGCATCTTAGACGCTGAGGATCCTGGTGTCACTTCCATTGCCTCCGGTGGACCCTCAGAAGCTAATGGAGGTTTGTCAGAAGAGACAGGTGTCTCAGTTGTCTGTGTGGTCCCTGGGGTCTGATGACGTTCGACCTCCGGGACGTGAAAGATTGGTGCAGCCTGTGGCTGCTTGGTGGGGGGCAGAGATGTGCACGCATCAGCAAAGCTGTATTGCGTGCCCACCGTCACTAGACGCCGCCCGGCCCACCGGCGCGCTACGTCAGCGTACGTTCTTCCGGAGAAGAGCGACACCTTCTTCCTAGCTTCAGAGAATGTGATGCTTTCCGTTACTTTTATTTGGATGATTTCCTTTTCCTTTTTGAAAATTTCACATGTTCGCGAGTACGCAGCGTGCGGCCCGTGACAGTTAGGGCACTCTGCGTGGAAGTACAGCTCTTGGTTGGGTGCTCATGATCACCACATTTTGCACATGTTTGTTTTCCGCGACAGGTGTTCGACCCATGTCCATATTTCTGGCATTTGTAGCACCTTCTAGGGTTGGGTATGTAGGGGCGGACTTTGCAGTGAAGGAACGCAGCTTTCACAGATTCTGGCAGGATGGAGCGGTTAAATGTTAGTACTATATGAGGCGTCACCACTTCTTCATTGTTTCGCCTGGTGGTTATCCGATGAATGGCGACTACGCCTTGCTCTTGAAAGCCTTCAAGGAGGTCAGCTTCAGTTTCTCGCATCAGATCACGTTGTGAAATGACACCTTGAAGTGTTAAGACTGCGATGGGGGGTGATAGACACATTCAGGTGGGCGAACTGCTTCTGTTTAAGGAGAGTGTTTGCATGCTCTTTCTGGCTTACTTCAACAAGAACATCACCGGATGACAGTTTCTTTGCGTCGTACTTTTTGCCTATTAAGTTAGCAAGGGTTTTAGCTATCAGGAAAACCGACAGTCCTGCAACAGAGACGTTATCTGCCAGAGAGTGTATGACTAGGAAGCGTGGGAAGTGGTCACAATCGCTTCCGGTTCGTTTGGAGCTTTCATCAGTGCGGTTCCTTTTAAGGGACCGATCATTGAGAAGGGGGAAAGATTTGGCCATGTGGTGCATTATATGTTCGGGGGCGATGGTGACCACCCACCACCGAGCCCAACAGGGGGACGCTACAAGGTAGAACACTTGAAGGCGCCAGTCACACATCGCCGCTATAACCAGATATAACTACCCAAGGTTGGGTAACTACACAAGGTTAACCCTAGCCGCCAGGAAGTTTGGAAGTAAACGGAAGAGACTAGAAGACAGGATAGATAAAAAGTGAGAGGTAAAGACGAAGATGTAGGGAGGGAGAGATAGGAAAAGGCGACTGCAGATTCCCCCCAGGCGGGTCAATCCAGGGGGTGCCGTCTACGTGAAGCCGGGACCAAAGGGGTGTGTTGCCTCTGCCGGGGGGCCTTAATGGTCCAATCACCCAGCGTCGGCTCAACCCCCAGGATCCCCTTTTCCCCGGACATGGCAAAGCCACGCACGGCTAGGCGTGGGAGGGAGTAGAAACTCCCCCGTTAGCTCGGGTCCGTGGTGTCGCTACACACCAAACGCCTACTTGCGCAGGCGCCCCTGCGGAGTGATCTTATTACTGTGCATTAACAGATGAGCAAAACCAAATGCTTACATACATTGTTTCAGGCATACGTACAAGCACTAACTTGCGCTAACATAATCGAACAAACCGCCCTTTAAGAACGTGCATGACGTACACAGCCATGCAAACACGATGTGGCTAGCAGACAACACAGGTAGCAATCCACACTGGTGCACTTAAGCCAGTTGCCACCAAGCAGCGACTCCGCTCGATCTAGTGGCCGGCTTAGTCGCCATGTACTGCCCAACATTTGCTCAATAAAAACAAATTAACAAAAATAGCTGACCACCACATAGCGCGATAGTGTTTTCAAAGAGCAGCACGTGCTCATTCATTTGTCACCTGCGCAAGTGTAGCCGCGCCTGTGTATGCAGCGTCCCAAGCGGCATCGGAGTGCAAAGATTTCAGTGGCCATTTTTCACACCTCCTCATTCTAGCATTCCTAAAATTAACTAGAAGGAACTCCGGTGCTGCGATTTTATAGTGACCATGGGAATGATGGGTAGTAGATGGATTTGTCTAGTCTTTATGTTTATGGGTTTCGAAGGCAGCTGTGGCTTCGTTTATTACAGCATTTTGGTTTTGCTTTGAATATAACAGCAAACCGTTTAGAACTTCGTGACCCAACTTGAATGAGTGATCCTCAAAGGTTAAGGTGGTGAAGTGCAACTGTTGAACATTTGCAGATTTTTTTTTTTCGTGACAAAGCAAAGCCAAAGGGTGCCAAAAGTACGAAGATTATGCAAATCCACGCACTACCCATAATTCTCATGCTTGCTGAAGCGTCACGCATTGCAGCTCCCATAGACAGTAGCGCCAGAGTGCCATCTAGTGCACTTATAGAAAACTATGATTTTAGCCACCCTAGCATTGGTGAAAGAACGCTCCACACTGACTTCAAGGGCAATAAAGCATTTACGATGTGAAGATGTCAAGGTAGTCCACCCCCATGAGGTGCAACTTTCATCCTACTGCCTCATATTTACGATGCAAGCCTACGAGACCACGCTTTTTACATACATATACACTGTTTTTGATCACAGAAGGGACATCCTAAACAAAATGAAGAGCACCTTTTGCAGCACTAATGCAACTCTAGCAGTACAAGGGTGCATATGAAGCCAGTCAATATGCCAAAAGAACTGCAAGAATTTTAAATTGTCAATGACGTATTTAATCGAACTGACAAAATTACCAGGGCAAGTTATGCCAAAGGTTTGCATGCGCCAAGGACACAATGCAGTTTAGTGACTGAATCGACGAGTTTTCTTTCCGTTTCATGGAATTTTTTTAGCACACTTCAATACTAACACACCTCTCTGAAATTCTACAAGCTGCTGCACCGTGCACGACGTCAGTTTCCGTTCGTGAAACTGGCAAGCCAAATTGGCCGATTTTGGTATGTACATTTTGAAGAGTGGTCAGGCCGAAAGAAGAAGGTGCACGATGTTTAACTTTACCAGTGTATAGATAACTTCAGACATATATTAATTGAGCACACATATCTCACAGAGTAAGGTGAATTGAACAGCATGCAGCGTATTTAAAGCGAAGTAAGACAACAAACACATATTACTATTCGGCTATCTAGTCGTGCATTAGTTTTGAAAGAAAACAATCAGGTTAATCGTGAGCTTCGCGCTAAACTAAGTGAACCCGTAGCGCCGACAGCTTGTCTTACAGGCGCATTTGACAGCGCGCAGTCAACAGTTCCCAGGCTGAACGTCAACACTGCGCACCCGAAGAGTGACGAGAAACACACAGGTCTCAAGGGTGGTCGGAGGTTGGTTAAGAAGATGTGCATGCGCTCGCCCTGTCACGAATGACATGATGGTGACGAGCGAGCAGATAGACTCGGCCGCGTAAGACATAATGTGTGGCGTGGTGGGTAGTAACTCACTTTCTGTGCCAACTATTGGTCGTAGGGACGACTGGACGCAGAGTCATCGTCGGCGCGATGATGAACGTCGCCGAGTGCAGCAAGGTTTCGCCATGTACTGCGACTACCACACAATAATAGCACTGTACGTCACTTCACACGGGCTTTCGAGTTCGCTGCACCACTTTCGGGGATTTTTTTTTTTTTTTTTGTCGTGCTCACACAGCCGATTTGAGTGGAGCTGGCTATGAAACGTAGATTACTATTCTCTTCGTACGTTTGCGTAACATAAAATCAGAACACGTAAAACATCGCATAGCGAGCACGCCTGCCTGCCGGACATGAAGTTATCGGCCTGTCGGCTGTAGCTGGCACAACAAGCACAGCGCACCATAGAATAAAGAACCAATGAGCGCACATCCACAGAACACCTATCCGATACGGCACATCCAGCCAACTGCGGCCACTACCCACAACATGAATGGATGGATGCTTTCTGCTACCATGAAGAATATGATGATGATGACCATAATCTGTGTTTTTGCTCTTTGTAACGGATGAACACATAGAGTTTATATGCTGACTGCACCAACGTTTATAGATACTTTTTCAGTTTCGGAAGACTCCGTTTCGCCTTCTGGAAGCAGGTGGCCGGCTGCAGTTACCGCCACCGCGACGCTGCAGGCAAGCTTTGTGTAAAGTCCCTAGATGAAACAAGTTTCCATCTAGGGACCTTAGCTTTGTGCAACGCCTCCTCTCACGGAGGAGGCGTTTTTTCCTTCCTTTTTCCTTCCTTCGTGCCTCCTCTAAACAATGCCTGGGGAATGGCTCGCGCTCCTAGCGGAGTTGGCCTGCCTTCAGTTTTGAGCAAGCGCCGCGCGGTGGCGCTCGCGACCAACACTATTATTATTAGATTATTATTAGATTAAGCAAGTAGACTTAACTAGAAGGAGGTTATCTGATTGATGGCTAAAGTCAAGGCACGAGTGAAAATTAAATTCTTCCCTGCAAAGTACGAATCCTGAAACTCACTTTTTAAGAAAAAAATAAATAAATACAGTTTTAGGTTCATTAAGTATTACGGCTTGATGACGCTAGCCACCGCCCGATCTAAAGAGTACAGCCATATCTATCCATTTATCCATTATCACGGCAGGGGGCGGTACCAGCCAACGTTTCTAGACCTAGTTCTATAAACGTTGGTACCAGGCAAGGAGGATATAAAAACCTCCAAGAAGGATATAAAAACCTGTACCAAGGAGGATATAAAAGTTTTTATATCCTCCTTGGTACCAGGCTACCAGCTTAGCGTTTTTCATCAGCGGCCCATAGGGGCGCGTCAGTCGAGAGTTGTTTGTATTACGACTTGGTGGCGCTAGCCACCGCCCAATTTGAAGGGTACAGCCATATCTATCTATCCACTTATTCATCCGTTTGAGACCTTCAATTGTGCACTACTGTTTCGGAGGCTATGCAAAGTGTTGCGTTGTTGCAGCGTCTGCCACAGGTGACGCTACCGACCAAGAACATTTTCAAAATGAAAGAGGAAAAGGGTGGGGCAGCTGTTTTGTTTCTCATGCGGCAAGCATCTTCCTAGAGGAGGCATTGTCTGGAGGCATGGAGGAAGGAAAAAACCATGGCGCTAGTGCCTATGGATATAGTGTACAAGAATATGGGGTAGTGTGTTCAGGGATGAGCCATGGCTGACGCAGTTGGTATTAACAGCCGCGAGATAGCGCCACCTTAGCATAGTCTATCACCTCACGCTTTGCCTTTTATGCACTTCCGTGCTTTGATATTAGTAATAGTAGCGGTTTAACGTCCCACAACCACCATACGATTATGAGAGACGCCGTAAAGGAGTGCTCCGGAAATTCGTCCACCTGGGGTACTTTAACGTGCACCTAAATCTAGGTACACGCACCTCAGTATCTGCGCCTTCGCCGAAAATGCAGCCACTGCGGCCGGGATGCGATCCCGTGATATGCGCTTGCATACGTAATTGCTGACACGGCCGTGAAAAGCTTTCTAATGGGTCTGTTTGTACTGCATTCAAAACAACACGAAATGTCAAAGCCGCAGCGCACGGTCTAAATGCAGGTATCAACAAACGAAGGCGGAGCAGTCATCCCTGGGGAAACTGCCTGCAGTGTTTTAAGTTCGGTTGGTGAAAGAATAAAAAATTAGGGAGATTGGGGTATCGAAGGAGCATTTAAAAACCCGAAAGTTTTTTTTGTATTACTGCTATATCGAGTCGTAGTCCGCACACTGAGACAGCTTCGACTTTATTACGCGCGCGGCACCATTCTTGTCGATAGTTGCATCATGCAATTTTAATTATGTTGCTAATGTGACAAAACTGCCAATTGATTGAGAGGCACGCCGTAGCTGAAGACTTGGGAATAATTTTGACAATCTTGGGTCGTTACATGATTACGCACCCGCCGAAATACTGCTGCTGTGGCCGGGTGTGATGAGTGAAGAAAACGACAACGACGTAAGTGCGGGTAAAGGCGCGTGTAATGTGCGCGTGAGTGTCAGCGAATCAGCTGATGACCTGTGGTGGCCCATAGAGGTGGCGTGCCACGATTGGGCCACGTGGGACCATTACGTGGCAGTAAGCTTGGTGGCTGGGGACGAGCCGAAGCATCGGCAGACGGAAGACAGCGGGCCGAAGCGTCGGGCGCAGGCGATCCAGGTTCCGGCCAGGGAACGCGGCCGTACGCGCTGCTGCCGTCCAACCACCAGCTGGGGCGGCATTGCCGGCACGAGTACTGCATCTCGGGGCGCGGCCTGGCCTGCTGTTCTCTTCCTTGCTGAGGGCATCGCGGATCTCGGCGAGGCGTCTCCACGGTCAGCCGTTCGGCACATCGATGAACGTGGCCTGGCTTAATGGTCACGGTTGCGCCGTCTCGACGCAAGCTGTTCGCTGGACGGGCTGGCCATTCCCCGCATGGAGCATCGCGTCTCCGATGCGGGTTGACTGCTCCGTAGCCGCACCCATGCCATCAAGCGCTGGTGTCACCAGAACGTCGCACATCGCCAAGGGACGAGCAAGACGTTCTGCCGGGTGAGACGCGGGCGTGTGTTCGGAGAACCACGGAGCCGGGCGAGGTTCAGGGTGGCCGAGGATCCAGGTGCCAGGGGAGTTCTGGCTAAATCGAGGATCGCCGAGTGGTACCGAGCAACGCGCCAGACTCGGACGTGGGCCGCGAGCTCATGAGCTGCAGTGTGCACCCGAGGGTACCTGGCGGTGCCCTGGCCAAGAAGGAACGTGGGAAAAAGAGCTCGAGGGTTGAGGCTACGAAGGCAGACGAAGCGGTGCGCCGCTCGAGAGGACGAGTTCCTGGCAGCGTTCCTGAGCCGGACGTGGGACCCGTACGTGTCGGCCAGGTCGAGCTCCGGTGTGCCTGTTAGGGGTCGAGTCCGTCGGCCTGTACAAGCTCCAAGGCCGAGACCTGCTGAACGGCTCCTGCCTGGGTGCAGTGGCCGGGAGCAGGTTCGTGGGCGAGGCCTACCGGGTGTGGTCCTCGTGAGCCGTGGCCTGATCCTGGACCTCCGGAGTTGCGACCCTGACTGCTGGGTTGGCCGCGACGTCCGACTCAACGGCGCTGCACATGGTAGCGTATACGTGCGCCGTCAGCCGTTCCACCCGTGCCATCAAATAAATTGTTCATGTTAATCCTTTCTCGTCCGCTATAAACAAACATAGTGACGAACGTCCTTAACCACTACAATTTCTGGCGTCCGCGACAGGACTAAGCTCTCGCGTTACATCTGAAAGCCTCACGTTGTTTGTGTGTGGCAGACGAGAATGGACGACAAGAGAAAGCTAGTTGAGCTAGGGAAGGAGATGGGGCTGAGTGGAGAGGCTTTGCTGGCATGGGTGAGCGCTGAGGAAAAAGAAATGAGGGGCCAGAGAGCGAAAGATTGAGAGGAGGCACGTCTAGCAGCACAGGTGGAGCATGAGCGTGAAATAGCTCGCATGGAGGCTGAAAGGCTCCTGCTCGAGGAGCGACGTCTGTTCATTGTTGTGTGAGAAAAGTTTTTTTGTGGAAACAACTTTCTTGTGTGGGGGGTTATTGTGAGGATTCGAGAAAAACGACAACGACGAAGGTGCGGGACAAGGCACGTGCGATTACGAGGCAACTGTGCGCCAACAGCTGATGACTAGCGGTGGCCCATAGAAGTGGCGTGCCACGATTGGGCCACGTGTGATCATTACGTGGCGGTAAGCTTGGTGGCTGGGGACGAGCCGGAGCAGCGGGAGACGAAAGACAGCAGGCCGAAGCGTCGGACGCAGGCGATCCAGGTTCCGGCCAGGGAACGCGGCCTTCCACGCTACTGCCGTCCAACTACCAGCTGGGGTGGCATTGCCGGCACGAGTACTGCATCTCGGGGCGCGGCCTGGCCTGCAGTTTTCTTCCTTGCCGAGGGCATTGCGGATCTCGGCGAGGCGTCTCCGTGGTCAGACGTTCGGCACAGCGACGTACGTGGCCAGGCTAATGGTCACGGTTGCGCCGAGCATCGCGTCTCGACGCAAGCTGTTCGCTGGACGGGCTGGCCATTCCCCGCATGGAGCATCGCGTCTCCGATGCGGGCAGCTTGGGCTAGTTGGTATGGCATGACTATAGTTATAGCGTGAGAACAAAACGACGACACAGACAAGGACACGAGCGCTCGTGTCCTTCTTGTCTCGGTGTCGTCGTTTTGTTCTCGCGCTATAACTATAGTCCAGCGAAGCTGCAGTCCCTGTAGTGTTCGCCACCTCGGGTCAGCAGGAAACTCCATCGATGAACCTCAATCACTGGCCTCACCGTCAACACAGGGTGCTGCATGCAGTTTTTCTTGGGGATGGTAGATTAGACCGCCGAGTTCTTCCGCTTTCTCGGATATGTCTTGGATGCGGCGCTTTCTTCGATAAGTAGCCTAGAGCATCGGGCAGTAACATCGGCACGGCGTCCGGCATTAGCTCTGGTCTCCTACGTGGTACGCGAACTTCTTCGCAGTTTATAACGTGGACGTAGTCTCTGAGAACACATGAAGACTCGAAGTGTAGTTCACATACAGAGCAGCTTTCGTTCAAGGTCCCATCCTTTCGAAGTAAATTCTGTTTCCAAACCTTCCTCTGAGCTTCGTCTTTGAGTGCAGCGAAAAGCGACGGTTGCTCACCTTTTTTCTAATGGTATACCCTGTTTGGCACCTAGATGCTAAGCAGTGTCGTTGCCGCCGATGACTCGGCATCGCCTCACCTTCACGTGGCCAGCAAAAACATTGCCAGAAATACTAACGGCACGGAGCTGACAATCCTGCCAGATGGTGATGATTTGATGCTGTTCCCTTTTTAGCGGGCGGGTATAGTGGCACCCTAGCATATAAATCGTGACACACACACACACACACACACACACACACACACACACACACACACACACACACACACACACACACACACACACACACACACACACACACACACACACACACACACACACACACACACACACACGCGCGCGCGCGCGCGCGCACGCACACGCACACACACACACACACACACACACACACACACACACGCACACACACAATCACGCTCTG